GTAGTTGTGTGAACGATGTAATTATTTATGAGTCCGGTTCAATCACTTCCTTAAGGTGCATTTGAACTCAAATAATTTTGAGGGTAAGGTTAGCTCTTTAAACTTTTTATAATAGATAATTTGATGTTTTTATTCGTGTCCGTTAGGGTAGGGTATTTCTTTATAATATTTCTAAGCGAAGATTTAACTTGTTTGTAGTTAATGGGCATTTGGTTTTTGTACAAAACATTTATGTTATTTTTAACTGTGTGTTCACTATCATTATTATTTACTATGGGGAGGAATAGTCTAATTTGGTGGTCGATATGGTAGTTAGAGAAACCATTGATAACTAGTTAACCTTGTCTGTCGTCTTTAATGAAACAGTTTATCCCGCTAGATCATTTACAACTGAATAGTGAGTTCGATCCTCACTGGGTGCCCGATAATTTTTGACCTTATGCCACATCTAACCTACGCTTAGAAAATCATTTATATTGCTTCTACGTGCTGCAATGGTTAACAAGTTTATCCCGCCAGATGATTTACGACTGAATAGGGTGTTCGATCCTCACTAGGTGTCCAATGCATTCGGCATAGTACTGCATCTAAGCTACGCTTATAAAAATCATTTAGGACACTTCGATGTGGTGCAATGGTTAGCAAGCTAGTCTCTCTGGATCAGTATGACTGAATAGTGAGATCGACTCTCACTAGGTGCCCAATACATTCGTCCTTGTACCACATCTACCTTACGATTAGAAAATAATTTAGGGTACTTCACTAGGTGCCCTATATATTCGGCTTTGTACCACATCTACTTTACGATTAGAAAATAATTTAGGGTACTTCACTAAGTGCCTCATATATTCGGCCGTGTACCACATCTACCTTACGATGAGAAAATAATTTAGGATACTTCACTAGGTACCCCATATATTCGGCCGTGTACCACATCCACCTTACGATTAGAAAATAATTTAGGGTGCTTCACTAGGGGCCCCATACATTCGCTTTTGTACCACATCTACCTTACGATTAGAAAATAATTTAGGGTACTTCACTAGGTGCCCCATACATTCGCCCTTGTACTACATCTACCTTACGATTAGAAAATAATTTAGGATACTTCACTAGGCGCCCCATATATTCGGCCTTGTACCACATCTACCTTACGATTAGAAAATAATTTAGGGTACTTCACTAGGGGCCCCATACATTCGCCCTTGTACCACATCTACCTTACGATTAGAAAATAATTTAGAGTACTTCACTAGGTGCCCCATACATTCGGCCTTGTACCACATCTACTTTACGATTAGAAAATAATTTAGGGTACTTCACTAGGTGCCCCATATATTCCCTTGTACCACATCTACCTTACGATTAGAAAGTAATTTAAGATACTTCACTATGTGCCCCATATATTCGGCCTTGTACCACATCTACCTTACGATTAGAAAATAATTTAGGGTACTTCATTAGTTGCCCTATTTATTCGGCCTTATACCACATCGACCTTACGATTAGAAAATAATTTAGGGTACTTCACTAGGTGCCCCATATGTACGGCCTTGTACCACATCTACCTTACGATTAGAAAATGATTTAGGGTACTTCACTAGGTGACCCATACATTCGCTTTTCTACCACATCTACCTTACGATTAGAAAATGATTTGGGGTACTTCACTAGGTGCACATACATTCGCTTTTGTACCACATCTACATTACGATTAGAACATAATTTAGGGTACTTCACTAGGTGCCCCATATATACGGCCTTGTACCACATCTACCTTACGATTAGAAAATGGTTTAGGGTACTTCACTAGGTGACCCATACATTCGCTTTTGTACCATATCTACGTTACGATTAGAAAATGATTTGGGGTACCTCACTAGGTGCACATATATTCGCTTTTGTACCACATCTACATTACGATTAGAACATAATTTAGGGTACTTCACTAGGTGCCCCATATATTTGGCCTTGTACCACATCTACCTTACGATTAGAAAAATAATTTAGGGTATTTCACTAGGGGCCCCATACATTCGCCCTTGTACCACATCTACCTTACGATTAGAAAATAATTTAGCGTACTTCACTAGGTGCCCCAAACATTCGCCCTTGTACCACATCTACCTTACGATTAGAAAATAATTTAGGGTACTTCATTAGGTGCCCCATACATTCGCCCTTGTAACACATCTACCTTACGATTAGAAAATAATTTAGGATACTTCACTAGGTGCCCCATATATTCGGCCTTGTACCACAACTCCCTTACGATTAGAAAATAATTTAGAGTACTTCACTAGTTGCCCCATATATGCGGCCTTGTACCGCATCTACCTTAGGATTAGAATATAATTTAGGGCACTTCACTAGGTGCCCCATACATTCGCTTTTGTACCACATCTACCTTACAATTAGAAAATAATCTAGGGTACTTCACTAGGTGCCCCATATACTTTTTGTACCACATCTACCTTACGATTAGAAAATAATTTAGAGTACTCCAATAGGTGCCCCATACATTCGCTTTTGTACCACATCTGCCTTACGATTAGAAAATAATTTAGGGTACTTCACTAGGTGCCCTATATATTCGGCTTTGTACCACATCTACCTTACGATTAGAAAATAATTTAGGGTACTTCACTAAGTGCCTCATATATTCGGCCGTGTACCACATCCACCTTACGATTAGAAAATAATTTAGGGTACTTCACTAGGGGCCCCATACATTCGCTTTTGTACCACATCTACCTTACGATTAGAAAATAATTTAGGATACTTCACTAGGTGCCCCATATATTCGGCCTTGTACCACATCTACCTTGCGATTAGAAAATAATTTAGGGTACTTCACTAAGGGCCCCATACATTCCCTTGTACCACATCTACCTTACGATTAGAAAATAATTTAGACTACTTCACTAGGTGCCCCATACATTCGGCCTTGTACCACATCTACCTTACGATTAGAAAATAATTTAGGGTACTTCACTAAGTGCCTCATATATTCGGCCGTGTACCACATCCACCTTACGATTAGAAAATAATTTAGGGTACTTCACTAGGGGCCCCATACATTCGCTTTTGTACCACATCTACCTTACGATTAGAAAATAATTTAGGATACTTCACTAGGTGCCCCATATATTCGGCCTTGTACCACATCTACCTTGCGATTAGAAAATAATTTAGGGTACTTCACTAGGGGCCCCATACATTCGCCCTTGTACCACATCTACCTTACGATTAGAAAATAATTTAGACTACTTCACTAGGTGCCCCATACATTCGGCCTTGTACCACATCTACCTTACGATTAGAAAATAATTTAGGGTACTTCACTAGGTGCCCCATACATTCGCCTTTGTACCACATCTACTTTACGATTAGAAAATAATTTAGGGTACTTCACTAGGTGCCCCATACATTCGCCTTTGTACCACATCTACCTTACGATTAGAAAATAATTTAGAGTACTTCACTAGGTGACCCATACATTCGCTTTTGTACCACATCTACCTTACGATTAGAAAATGATTTGGGGTACTTCACTAGGTGCACATACATTCGCTTTTGTACCACATCTACATTACGATTAGAACATAATTTAGGGTACTTCACTAGCTGCCCCATATATACGGCCTTGTACCACATCTACCTTACGATTAGAAAAATAATTTAGGGTACTTCACTAGGGGCCCCATACATTCGCCCTTGTACCACATCTACCTTACGATTAGAAAATAATTTAGCGTACTTCACTAGGTGCCCCATACATTCGCCCTTGTAACACATCTACCTTACGATTAGAAAATAATTTAGGGTACTTCATTAGGTGCCCCATACATTCGCCCTTGTAACACATCTACCTTACGATTAGAAAATAATTTAGGATACTTCACTAGGTGCCCGATATATTCGGCCTTGTACCACAACTACCTTACGATTAGAAAATAATTTAGAGTACTTCACTAGTTGCCCCATATATGCGGCCTTGTACCGCATCTACCTTAGGATTAGAATATAATTTATGGCACTTCACTAGGTGCCCCATAAATTCGCTTTTGTACCACATCTACCTTACAATTAGAAAATAATCTAGGGTACTTCACTAGGTGCCCCATATACCCTTGTACCACATCTACCTTACGATTAGAAAATAATTTAGAGTACTCCAATAGGTGCCCCATACATTCGCTTTTGTACCACATCTACCTTACGATTAGAAAATAATTTAGAGTACTTCACTAGTTGCCCCATACATGTGGCCTTGTACCGCATCTACCTTAGGATTAGAATATAATTTAGCGTACTTCACTAGGTGCCCCATACATTCGCTTTTGTACCACATCTACGCTACGATTAGAAAATGATTTAGGGTACTTCACTAGGTGCTCCATACATTCGCCCTTGTACCACATCTACCTTACAATTAGAAAATAATTTTGTGTACATCACTAGGTGCCCCATATATTCGATCTTGTACCACATCTACCTTACGATTAGAAAATAATTTAGGGCACTTCGACGTGATGCAAAAGTTAAGCAAGCTACGCTTAGAAAATCACCATAGCTCAGAAATTGCGTTAATAAAGCATAATTCTTATATATTTTTGTCTCTATAAATTCCTTATAAATTTATTCCACGCTGTATTATTGACTCCCTAGCAGTTGTCCTATTCTAAACTGAAGTTCAAATACTATAAGATTATTATTCTCTTTTCAGTCAGTTTTGGCGCCATATATAATCGTATATACTTAAATACTTTTACCCGGCTATTTTTAATTACAACTTTCTTTCATGAAAAGCAAACCAAAAAGCACACCACCAAGTGATACTATTTTGATAATATCGTATAATATTTTCATTTGATTTCGCTTCTGTCGTGTAAAGGAATCGTTTTCTACTTGATCTGCACCCTGCCTCGACAAAAGCCACTACAAGCAGGCCGTGCAGGCACGCCAATACGGGTAGCGGCAGGTGGCCGACGCCGGTACTAGTGCAAGGTGCGGTCGAGGAGACATGTAACCTTATCCACAGGACGGACGGCCCGCAAAGCGAACGGTCGGTGGCCACAAGCAACAATAACGAAGGTACATTGCTCACATATTTTTCTTGCTAAAGACAAGTATCGATTTAGTTGCATTTCAACGGATATCAGTGAATTCTCGGAGAGGGATGACAAGAGAAAAAAAGGAAAAAAGAAAAGTGAAATAGAGAGAGAGAGAAAGAGAAATAGAAAAGGAAGTGAAGAAGGAAAATGTTAGAGAAATGAGGAATAGAGGAATAAAGAAAGGTAGAAAAAAGAAAGTGTGAAACAGAGCATGAGAGGAGAGGAAACAAAGGGAGAGGAGGCGAAATAGAAAAGGAAAAAAACGAAGTAAAGAAGAAGATGAAAGAAATAAGAAGAATGAAAGAGAGAAGAGAGAGAGAGAGAGAGAGAGATAGAGTGAGAAGAGAGGAGGAGCAAGGAAAAAGAAAACACTAAAGGAAAATAAATGTATGAAAGTGAGACGTGTGCAGAATTGGAAAAAAAGAGAAAGCGAAGGAACAGAAAGAAAGAAAGAAAGAAAGAAAGAAAGAAAGAAAGAAAGAAAGAAAGAAAAAAGAAAGAAAGAAAGGCTGGGAGAAAGAAAGAAAGAAAGAAAGAAAGAAAGAAAGAAAACGGAAGAAAGAAAGGATAAAAGGAGGCATGGAAGAAAGAAAAAGAAAGAAAGAAAGAAAGGAAAACTGAAAGAAAAATAGAAAGAAAGAACGTAAGAAAGGAAAGGACAATGAAAAAGACGAGAAGTAAGAAAGGAAGGAAAGACACAATAGAAAGAAAGACTGACGGGAAGCATCGAAGAAAGAAAGAAAGAAAGAAAGAAAGAAAGAAAGAAAGAAAGAAAGGATAAAAAGGCATGAAAGAAAGAAAAAAAAGAAAGAAAGAAAGGATAAAAGAAAGAAAGAATGAAAACTGAAAGAAAAATAGAAAGAAAGAACGTAAGAAAGGAAAGGACAATGAAAAAAAGAAGTAAGAAGAGGAAGGAAAAATGAAAGAAAAAATAGGGAAAGAAAAGAACGAAAAAAGAAAGAAAAAGGAAACAAAGAAAAAAGAAAACGAAGAAAGAAAGGATAAAAGGAATGGAAAAGAAACAAAGAGGTAAAAGAAAGAAAGAAAGAAAGCAAAGAAAGAAAAGAAAAAAAAAGAAAGAAAGAAAGAAAGAAAAGGAAAGGACAATGAAAAAACGAAAACGGAAGAAAAAGGAAAAACAATAAAAGAAAGACTGACGGAAGCATCGAAGAAAAAAAAGAAAGAAAGAAAGAAAGAAAGAAAGAAAGAAAGAAAAAAAAAAAAAAAAAAAGAAAACGGATGGAAGAAAGAAAAAAGGAGAATAAAAAAAAGAAAGAATGAAAAAAAAAAAAAAGAAAACGGAAGAAAGAAAGGATAAAAGGAGGCATGGAAAGAAAAAAAAAAGGTGAAAGAAAGAAAGAAAGAATAGAAAGAAAAAAGATAGAAAAGAAAAAAAATAGAAAGAAAGAACGTAAGAAAGGAAAGGACAATGAAAAAGACGATAAGTAAGAAAGGAAGGAAAGACACAATAGAAAGAAAGACAGACGGGAAGCATCGAAGAAAGAAAGAATATAAAGATAAGAAAGAAATAAAGAAAGAAAGAAGGTAGGAAGGAAAAAAGGAAGCAAGGGGATATACGAGTGAAAATGACGACGAAAACAGGAAGTGGGAACGATAAAATGGAGGACAGGAAATAAATCGGAAGAAAAGATAGAAGAGAAGGGAAAGATAAAAAAAAGGAAAGGTGTAAATAAATGAGTGGAGAGAGAGAAAGACATGTGGAGAGGGCGGAAAATGAAAGGAAAAAAGATTGGGATGAGAATGGACGAAAATAAAATGAATTTGACAGAAGAAATTAAAATATTGAAAAGAAAAAAGAAAAAAAGAAGTGGAAGGAAAATTAGGTAGAAAGAAAAAGAAAGAAAGAAAAAAAAAGAATGAGAAAGAGAAAGAAAAAATGAAGCAAAAAAGAAAGAGAGAAAGAAAAAGAAATAAGAAAGAGAAAGAAAAATCAAACAAGAATGAAAGAAATAAAGCAAGAAAGAAAAGGCGGAATAAATATGAAAAAAAGAGAAACGAAAAAAATAAGGGAAATGGAGAGAAAGAAGATGAGATGAAGAAGGAAAACTGGGAACGAAAATGTTTTTAGCTTTTACTGTTGATAAACATATTGACCATGTAACAGACTTTAGTGTAATAAATGGAAGTTAAAGTATTTATTCTGGCTATCAAGATTGCAGAATAGGCCGAGTGCGTTATCATTTCCTTTTACAATCTTTCATTCTTTAATTTTCCTTTCTTTAAAATTATTTCCTTCCTTCTTTCTTCCTAAATCTCTTCCTTCCTTTCTTTCTTAATCATTTTCTCCTCTATCATACTTCTTCACTGAGGTATAAATTTTGTTTATTTCTTTATGTCCGTTAACGAACCTCACCTGTCCAGTACTATCTATAAACCTTCTATTTCTCCAACTCAGTTTTTTCTTGGTATCATATTACGAGGTGTTGAAGCAATATTTTTTTCCACAAAATAATTCCTGAAAATTTCCCCAATGGATGAAAGTTTTTTTTTAATTTTATTTTACAAAATTTTATATTTATTTTTATTTTTATTTTTTTTTCTCAAAAGTCAAATAGGTGACGGGGTCGTTCTTGAGGCCAGAACATCCTTGACGCCAGGATGTAGTCTCTGTGTCGAAGTAATCGATAGGCCGGGATATCTGAGTTGGTCAGGCGTTTAAAGAAATGAATAATTTGGTGGTCAGTTCGTCACCGCTCCATTGGTCAGGAACTACACACAAACTGAATGGACAACACGGCGTTTTGAAAACTGCATATTTTATATTGTTGGATGTATGCCCATCATAGTTTTCAATATTAATCGCAACATATGTTTGGTATTTGAAGTAAGCATTCTAAATTCGAATATTTAAAGACTCATTTTGAAAATTCAATTTAAACAAAGCATTAAAAGGTTACTTGTTAATAATACAGATTTTTTTCTTAAGGCTTAAGCTGATGAGCGAGTATCTAATTAAGTTTATTTTAACGTTTCACTCACCTTGCACAAAAAGTTAAAGTTGGTGTGAATTCTGAAGAATGGTGACCTCACGATAAATAACTTGAAAATACAATAATATAAAATTCTTTGTTAACTCGAGATTAATAGTATACGCTTGCACCAGTTGAGTAACTGAAGCCTATCGCTAGACATTACTAATATCTTCAGCCATGTGACTGTCTTCAAAATATTCTTAATATATCTTTTTTAATTTTCGTGAATAATGTTTCTTAACTTAAAAATATATTCTAAAATATGAGTGAAGGCGATACAGACAGGAGATGAAAAATATTTTACAGAATAAAACTGATTTCTAAAAATTATTTTTTTTGCTTTTTTTAATCTGAAATTTTTATTACTTCGATGCTTATTTTTAGTAGATACTCATGTTTAAAATAGACTCCCACTTTTTAAAATTTATTTTAAACAGTCTATTACGTCTATCGGACCTCGTACTAAAGAAAACCCCCACCACCTACGTGATCGTTGTTTACCCTTTTGCAATTCCTAAACGTTGTGTTTCGATAAATATTAGGTTGGTGCAAAAATAATGACGTAATAATGTCGTTTTTTGACGTATTTTTTAACGTAAAAAACATTATTACGTCATTATTTTGTGCACCAACCTAATAATTTTTACTTTTCTTGAGTTTTTTATCTTTCTTTGGAGTTAACAATCATTTCTTGGACGCATAACAATCATCATATATTTATATATTATAAATATATATCAATTATATATATATATATATATATATATTTAATGAACAACAGACACTTCAAGGTACCATGACAATAATTTATTTCACCAAAATCCTTTTTAAGGGATTTTGGATCATCAGGTAACACTTCCAACAATGAAATGAGAGGAAAAATATGATTAGAAATTGATGGGTAGTGTAATTTTATATAATTAAATAGGGAGGGTGAAGGTGGCGGTTAAAGAGACAATACAAAATATAGTGAGGGTTAAATTTACATCTCTCTTAAATAAGCTTTAAATTGGGGTAGGAGGAGTAGGAATAAAGTGTAGTTACCGACACCAGAGTTTGAACGCAGATCACCCGAGAGCAAACACAGGCGATCCCATTTTGAATAAGTAGATCAAGTGATGGTAAATGAAATGTAGATATATGGGAATAAACGTGGCGGCTAAGTGATCATTCTCCACATCATGTGTTCGATTGAGTGCATGGGATGCATGAATGTTTTTTTAAAGTTCAGCATTGATTTTGTCCAGTTAACTGATATTTCTGCCACAGTTAGGGCTGTGGGTGGTTTTATTACTAACACAATATTGTTTAGTTTCTTGAATAGAGTTTTGTACTCATTTGTAAATACACATTGAGGTTGTTGGATTTTTAAATTGTTATTTTATTCCCCTCCAACTACAGACAATGAATTGTATATATGGGGACTAGTTAGGACTTTTGGGAATTTCTGAGGCATTATGGTGGATGAGGTAAAAATGGTAAGTAAGAATGCGTTATTTTGGTGGAATGAATAGTCTTTGTGGCTAGCTAAGTTCAACGTTAAGACAGAAGAAGACTCCTTTTCCTTATTTCCCCTTTTGGCCTTGTGCCACATTTGTACTTTATGTACAATAAATATTATCACTCTTTAGATTATTTTGGAAGTGTGCTGGTCAAACTCTGTGCCTTCGGGCAGAGAGGACCTCCAGAGGAGGATATACCGACGTCACGTCTCAGGAGACAGCTACCCGATTCCGTTTTTACGGGATCAACGGGGAATTTTTCACCGAACCTACGGGTTCGATATCCCACTATAAAATTGGCCTTGTGCCACATCCGACCACCTGGGCATTTAGTGAATATCTCACTATCCGGATTACTTCGGAAGTGTGTTTGTCAAACTCTTTGCCTGAAAGGAACCCCACACGAGGCTATGTCGAAGGGCAGAATTTCGTCTCGGGAGACAGCAACTCGAACCAGTTTTTACGGGGTTTAAGGGATTTTTAGCCGAGCCTACGGCCTCGGACACCCCACAATAAACTGGGCCTTGTGCCTCATCGAACCTCGTGGGGCGGTTAGTGAATATCATCAATATACTGATTTCTTTTCGGATCACTATTCCGTGGCTACCATTCGAGCGAGTATTATCGAGCAAGTGTGATATTCGAAGGCGTCGGTATTGTTCAACGGCGTTACTATAGTTGTATCTGTGATTACAAAGTCTCTACCAACGGGTATTACGAAAGTGACAACCAGTTGACATGACAAAAGTGGCAACGAATATTCGTTGACATCATATATATATATATATATATATATATATATATATATATATATATATATATATAAAAGAATAGTAAGATATGTATTCCGGTGTTCTTATAGATATTTTTATTTTTACAAAATAGTGCTCAATGTAAATTTACAGAGCATTAATATTATAAATTAATTGATTTAAAATATGTTTTTTTTTTTCGCTACACAGTCCTAACCATGTTTCAAAAATGGAAGCTAAAAGCCCCGAATTTAATTTTGTAATTAAATTAAAGACATTAGTTCCATTTCATCCTCAAGCGAACCTTGGAGTAACTTTTAAAATTACTGGGTTTTAAATACACAGCTAAAACAAAATTCATGTTTCCAAGGTTACAGATGAATCTATTTTTCTAGACAGGGGTGTCTGGTTGTTCAATATGTCTATATTTTAATATATTTAATTTTATATATATATATATATATATATATATATATATATATATATATATATATATATATATATATATATAGCCAATTTAGCTCTTGGTGTTGACTTCAATGTTCACTTTTATATTTACATCTGCTCTATCCAGGATATTGAGCACTTTAACTCATAAATATAGCATACCTTAAAACTATATTTTACCATATATATATATACATATATATATATATATATATATATATATATATATATATATATATATATATATATATATAAAAAGAAAGAAGAGAGGTGCCGACTTTCAGGAGATATGAACAGTTTTTGTACTCGCTCACTCCCACCAAACCGAAAAATGTAAGGACGCTGAAAAAAAATAAGTAAAAAGGAGAAAAAAATTCTCTGTCCATCATATTTAACGAAAGATTTCTTTCTATATCTCTGAGATGAGGTATTATGATTATTTGCATTATTTACATTATTCGGACTGTTATCTTCATCTTCATTGTCATATTCCGTTGTACGTTCCGTCCTTCTTTAGGTGATCGCGGTAGATTGTTCTTCCGAAGCTTTCAGTTATTTCCCTTTGACACAACTTTGCAAGTATTTTGGTTCACGATTACGATTACGAGTCCTGTAACTCATTAGAGTCGTAGGGGTACCACATGTACAGCAGCCTCTGTATAAGTGGGTGTGTCTCGGGCAAGATAGCCTGACGTGGTCCTTCTCTCTATAGGTTAATTTGAATTCAATTTTCTTTCTCCTAGACCGGTTGCCACCTAAGGTTATAAAAATCAGTTTGTCCTGATATTTTACCCATAGTTA